CAAACAAAGAAGAAGAAGAACGATGAAACCTTGCGTGATTATATGTTGAAAATGAGAGAAATTGGTGTCGCCAATGGCATCGAAGATGAATCCGTTATTCAGTACATAATCGACGCTATCGACGACGACCACAACAATAAAATGCTATTGTACGGTGCAAAAACATACAAAGAATTGAAACCAAAATTGGATGACTATGAAAAGTTCAAAGTAAGCGGCACAAAGAAAAAAGTGGATGACTAATTCACACTAAGCATTGCTCAATGAGCTATTTACTTTATCTGCTTGATTTCATTCCAACATAAAAATGATTGGTTAACCGTAATGCTGAAAATTGTGTTTCAGTTTGTGATATGGTTGAAAGCAATGTAGCTGCAATTTTTGGACCGAATTCACAAAAAACCACAAGTAAGTCGAGAAATAGTTTATTTTTTCACTTTTTTATATATGATAAAACCGAATCAAAATCACCTTTTTTTGTACCAAATTTTAGATCTCGTATCATCAATATGCAAAAAGGTACAAATTCTCTACTTCACGTCGATTTGGCAGCCAATCGATGTTGACGAATTCAACAGCACTGACTCCTTTACACGGAATCTATTTCCCCATCCAAAAAGATATTCCGCAGCATTGGTGGAGATAATAAAAAGTTTTCGATGGCTGAAAATTGCTGTCATTTACGATTCTGAATTGAATTTGGCCAAGCTACAGCACACGTTCAATGATTTTTCGAAAGTGGATAACAGTGGCAAACAATCGGTGTCATTCTATAAATTGCTCACGGATACGGACGACTACCAGCCATTGCTTAAGAGTATATCCAAATCGGGCATCGTTCAGGTCATCATTGACTGTACGATGGATAATACTTATTCGGTGCTGAAACAAAGCACCAAAGTTGGCATGACAAACGAATATGTGGTTCGTAGTGGAATATTAGTTATTTTCTTTTTTTTTGAACATGTAAATGTTCATTGAAATATTCCACATCTTTTTTTCTTTATTACAGAGCTACTTTCTACTCGGTAATGATGGTCATACAATAGATCTATCACCACTGTCTGATATAAAATCCAACATTACAACCATTCGACTTTTGAATCCAACGAAAGCCGATGTTTATGAATACGAAACGCAGCCGATTTTCTTAAGAAATCGCTACTACAAACCGATTTTCAATGCAAATCTGATGACAGTAAGCTATTTCCAAATCCAATTCATAAAGAAAACTTTCAAGAACAAAAATGTGTTTTAGACGGAAGCTGCTCTGATTCAAGACGCTGTTACGGTTTTCTCGAAGGCTTTTGGTGACAATGTTACATTTATCGATCAGTTCAATATGAGTCCAACTTCATGTTACAATTTTCATCCGGAAGAAGATGAGGAAATGTCGTCCAGTGGCAGAGATGTTCTCGATAAAATTGATCAAGTAACTATTCCTTTGATTCTTGATTATGGAAACTTAATCCG